AAATTTGATGCAGAAAATTAATGAAAATAAAATTGCTGAAAAAAATAAAATAAGAATGAAAGAGAGAGAAGGGTAACGAAGGAAAAATATAAAAAAAATTCGGCAAACCAACTAACAACTCGATTTAGTATTCGACTCCTTTCGAGAACGTTTCAAACTTCTCTCTCGCGTGTTTCTGCAAACGTCTTGCGAATCGTTGCTAGCTGCCAGGCGCGAAGAGGAGGAGGCTATGGGGGTGGGTTGGGGTTAGAAAAAGAAAGAAAGAGAGAGAGAGAGAGAGAGAAGGTAACGTGCAACTGACAACCCTCTTCTCTCTTTTGGTCTATCTCAGTTAACCCGAACCCCTAAAAGCAAAGCAAGGCACAAGATAGAGATGGAAAGACAGGGAAACGACGAGACGGGGGGTGGTGATGGTGGTGGTGGTGGTGGTGGACAGAGAATTGGAAAGTCGTGACGAGCTCGGAAGCAGGAGCAGGCGCCGTGGAGACGGCAGAGATCCTGCCTTTTTGTTTGTCTGTTTGTTTGTTTGTTCCGGGCGTTTCGTTACCGCGTTGGTTAGCTACTTCACTCCCTTTTCTACCATCCCCCTTCTATCATTCTCATACACTTCTACACCCTCTCTAACCTCTATCTTTCTTCCTGTCCTTATTTATATCTTACTCTCTCTCTCTCTCTCTCTCTCTCTCTCTCTCTCTCTCTCTCTCACTCACTCTCGCATTTTTCTTGTATTTTTCACCAACTTTATCATTCTCCTTCTTTCCATTGTCTTTTTTGTCTTTTTCTTTCTTTTTTTCTCCCTTACTTTCCGTCTATCTTTTCTATAGTCTTTTTCTTTCGAACACCCCCCCCCCCCGCCCTCCCCCTCATCCCTCATCATCTTTTTCTTCTTCTTGTCTTACCGGTAATATTACTACTAATCTTTTTTCCGAAAACTTTCTCGCATAGTTTTTTCTTCAATTTGAATGGTACTTTTTTTACTGTTTTTCTTTTTTTTTTCGATAAATTAGAATATTTCAAAAGATGTCACGTATTTATTAGTTACAATTTCGCATGTTGTTATTTTCTCGTGTCGATACACAACATTTTTACGGATATAATAATATAATTCTGGAGGGATTCGGTTGGATGTTTATGCGAAATAACAACAAGAAGGAGTAGCTATCACGCAACGTTCATTACTGTCTTGATTCTTCTACTTTCCTGACGAATCACCGAGTTAATCTCCACGTGTTCTCGAAGAGTTAAGTATATTATTGAATACATCGGCACGCGAGTCTCGATGAAAAAAAAAAGAAAAAGAAAAAGGAAAAGAAAAAAAAAGATTAATAATGTCTCTCAAAAAGTATTACAAGGGTATTACACACTATTAATTACAATAATTCTCTTCTCTCGTTTAATCTTGCTCAAATTTAATTAAAAATGATTCGTTGCAAAAAAAAAAAGAAAAGAAAAAAAAGAGAGAGAAAAAGAAAGATCGAAAATCCTGAGATAATGATTAATTCTTTCTCTTTTTTTTTCTTTTTTCTTTCTTTTTTATCTTTTCGATCGAATCGAATCCTCATCAAATTTTATCTAAAATTAATATTTTACCATTACGTTTCCCGTTAAATCTATTCTCTTTTTTTTCTTTTTTTCTTTTCAATAAAACAATGAAATGAAATACATTAATTTGGGCACAATAGTATTTTCGAAGAGAGGTAATAGAAATATGAATAAAAAATTGATGAGAATTTTCTCGAAGGGCAAGAGAACGCAAAAAGATAAAAGAACAAAAAAATATATAGAAAGAGAGAGAGAGAGAGAGAATTTAGAAAAGAAAAAAAATAAGGAAAGAAATAGAGATAAAGGGAGGGAGTGACTATCCTCGTGAGCTAACTCTCGTCACGCACATGCTGCAACGACCTTTTGCATCAAAAGCTTTTGTTTATGGGCCGAGAAGATTTATAGGCTGCACAGCGATGTGTACATATAGCATCTTGCTACGCTCTATCCGTACCGAGATCTCTCCTCGAAATGTCGTCAGCGTCCGAGCATACACCCTCTTCTTCTTCTTTCTTCTATCTTTCCAACTTCAACAAACTCTTCACTACTTTTCTACATCAAACATCAACTATCTTTTCCCTTACATTGTTTTTTTTTTCTTTTAAACCCAAAATACTTTTCCAAAGGAAAGTGCAACAACACGACGCGTCTTGTCGCGTTTATCTAATAATATTTCACTCTTCATTTTTTTCTTATCAAATCTTGTAATACTCTCTCTTTTTCGATAAAGTAAATTCTATCGAGCTATTAAATTTCGACTAATCAGTGTCGGACTTTGAAACTTTTTAACGACACCGTAAAATCGCATTTCTCGTTGGATTTATCCTCGTATCTTTGATTTTTCATTTAATCGAAATTGATCTTTAATACGACACCATAATTAACGCGTTTCGATAATACAAATATATTGATTTCATTCATATCGAATCTAAATCAAAAGCTTGAATTTATTTTATTTACTGCAATTTGAAATGATTGTTTCTTTTTTTCTAATCCTGATGGCAATCGTAACTCTCTCGCATATACCGACATACGTAAACACGTGATTTGAAAATAGTAAAGCAGGCACGTTATTATCTATCCGCCTACATTGTCCGAGAAGCGTTAACGGTCATACAATTGTTTTCAAGCTGGTCAGTAAAAAAACAACGGGGAGAGTTGTGTGTTGTTCAATAGACGTACTTACATAGATGCATGTATGCATGCATGCATACGTGCATGCATGCAGCAAGTAAGGTACTCGGCGACGGAAACATTCCTGAGAGAAAGAGAAAGAGAGAGAAGGGAAACGTAAGCTAATAAAGTAAGATTTACAGAGATGCTAAAGTGTAAAGGAGAAATAAAAGAGTTATGGAATACGAGAAAGATTTTTAAACTCGTCATAACTCGGTAGTTTATGAAGTTGTCGTAAGAGAGACGTTTGAAAGATCTCTCGATCGATTTTGGAACGGGGTAAACGTGCTTATAAGGCGCGATAAATTCATCCTTTCTACTCGTGGAACGCGGCTTATCTCTGACAAAAGCGAAAGAATTCGATCGTGGAACGTAGAGAAGAAATATAACAACTTGGCTATGGAATCGTCTGGTGTAACTCATAATGCAACTTGCAGAGATTCGCCAGGCGTCGGTCTCCATCGAATATAACCGGTCCGTTCGATCTGTCTCCATATTTAGTAACTTACATTTTATATATCAGAGAAACACGTGGAATTATTTTTCTTACTTTCCTTCTGGAATAATACCTATACATTTATATAAAATCATTATTTTTATACGTCCGTTTTATACGCGCGTTCTCCAGGTTAATGAAAAAAAAAAAAAAAAAAATAACTTTTTAAACCAATACTAAATTCAACGATATTTTTTCTTAAGACAATTTGAGGATTACCAAAAAAGGATACAAGAAGTTAGTATCATCTACAAAATTCACCTAATTTTACTTTATTAATCAACTAGTTGTATTTTAATGGCTCGCCAATTTTCTAATACTATTTTCACTATTTTAGGTCAATCTGAAGATTGTCAATCAAAAGTGTTTGAGGATTACCAACTAGTAAATACATTTCAAGATAAAGGAGAGACAATTAAGTAGTTGATTATCCAATTAAATTCAATCTTTATTACTATTGCGTTCTCCCAAAAGGAAACTGATCAGTTTATTTTTACGTTCTCGTTGTAGGCCAAGAAGTATATCTACTATTTGCTAAAGGAACTGATCGTACACTTGGAATAATCGCCCGCATAACATGGTCAATATGAGAACAATGACCAAAGGAGAGAGAGAGAAATAGGATGTTTCTCTTTTCGTCGTCTTTGTAAGTCATGCAGAACTATGATTACGTTTAATAATCTAACAATAAGATTCGTAATTAATCGCGAGAGCCCTGATTCTAATTCGGTCTTATCATTATCATGGGAACTACTGTTAAAAGAAAAGGAAACACTTCCGAATTAATTGTCCTTTCTTAAATCGACCATGGTCAATCAATTTTCATCCTAATTTGTGCTCATATAATATTTTCGAATCAAAAGCAAATTAGGGGAGAAACGTAGAAGAATATTATATATTCCAAGCGATGTTGGGCTTCTTTTGCAAGCTCACAAAAATTCCAACAAACAATTTTCGTACTTCCGAATGCACCTTCGAATAGATCCTAACAAAATGATTACTGTTAATACCTCAAACAAAATATTACTAACGCTTATATCATCCACAAGTATAGAGTTTTTTCGTAAAACCTAAAAAATAATTGCAAGAAGACTCTTTCCAAAATATAATTCCCCATATTTTTCGAATCCATCCCTTATACTTGGACCAAAATAAATTATAATTACAAATTGAATACTCTCTCTCTCTCTCTCTTAGAGTGAAATAACTCTATCCGAGTAAACATTTGTTAATAAAAGAAAATTAAAAAAAAATTTGTCTTCGTAATTCTCCGTCGGATTTCGTGTCCGAAAACGTGCTACCTTGAACGTGGTCGCGGAACGAATGCCATAGGACTTTCCGTCTTCGTCTGACTGCCCCCTCCATGTTGAATTGTGAAAGCTCGACCGCGCGCGGGCGCGTATTCTATGCGAATCCACGCTTGGAAAGGGGCAACTATCCCCGTTTATCGCGCTTCCTTTTCCTTGGTGGGGGAACGGACCGTCAGTCACGTGGGCGGCGCCATATTTGAGCCACGCCCAATCGCGTTGCCCCTTTACCAGCCCGGCGCGCTCGTCAAATGTTTTTCGTCGCGGATTATGACGCGATCTGCGCGATTATGACCACCTCTACCTCTTTCTCCATCTCCTCCTGCTCACTCCCTCTTTCCCTCTTTCATTCCGATTTCCCCTTCCTCGTCACATTCAGAATATACTTTCTCTCTCTTTCCCCTCCTAACCCCTCCCTCCCTGCCTCTTTTCACATTCTAGATTCTTCCTTTTACTCCTCTCTTTCTCTTTCTATTGCTTACCTCAGCAAGCTTGAATTTGTTCTCTCCGTCTTCTTTCAACAGCACAACCCGCTTGGCTAGGTCGTTTTCTGCTACGACGTTGGACGTGTATGTAGAGGGCATCTAAACTACCCCCACTCTTACAGCCCTTTTTCTCTCTTTTCTCTCTCCCTCTCACTCTCTCTCTCTCTCTCTCTCTTCGTTTTGAACGTATTCCGTGCGCGACGAACGCACGGAATACCCGATCTCCTCCACGTTCCCCTTCCTCTCTTTCCCTATCTTCATTTTTTTTTTTTTCGTTATTTGCTTTTCTTTTTTTCTACTCTTCTCCGGCTTCGAATAGAAACTCTCGGGCCTTTTCCGAAGGCTACTACTACCTTTGGATCGTGTAAAGACCAGCTACTCTAACGTGGCATCGATCGCCACCGTTCAACCTCATCCTCTTTGCCACTGAGTCGTCTCAGTCCCACGATGTTCTTCTTTCCTTCGATCTTATATCGGAGATACAGAAAAAGAGAGAGAGAGAGAAGTAGGGATGAACAGAGATAATCAGTGACAGTTGGGAAAAGAAAAAATCTCGCAAAGATCATCAGAATGAAGAGGAAGAGCTGGAAAAGAAGATCATTTGAAGTGGTTAATCAAGAAAATTGAGATCATCAGATACTGTTGATCAAGAAGAAGAGAAATTGAAAGTTGGAGATCATCGGAATCACTTGGTCAAAGAAATGAGAGAGAAAAGAAACTGATCAGAATCACTTGGTCAATGCAACGAGAAAGAGAAAGAAAGAGAGAGAGAGAGAGAGAGAGAGAGAGAGAGAGAGAGAGAGAAAAGGAGATGATCAGAATCACTTGGTCCAAAGAAATGAGACAGAAGGAGATGATCAGTGGTAACTGGTCCAGAGATAAAAAGAGATAGAGACTGATAAGGAACTGTAGAAAGAGAAATACACGTTTAAGAGAGCCCAGTTTGTCAGGATAGCTTGCTGATTGGATGGACAGCTTTCTTTCTTACGATATTCTTAGCCTTCCCTTGACGCGTGAACGAGAATTTAATGGTGCGGATCGGTGAGAAAGTTTTTCCGATGGAATGATTTACGCGGTTTTGCTCTTAACGATCTCAGCAACTCTTTCTCTCTTTCTCTCCATCTATCTTTACGCGCCTCACGTGAGAATGAGAGTGCAGGACGGAGAACGAGACTGAATTGAATGCAGCAAACTCGTTCAGTCTTTACTCGGAAACCTTTTTTACCTCCAACGATATTGCATTGTTTCTCAGGATCATTGTCCAGTTCAGGTCGACATAATTTTTTTTTACCACGTTACATATCAACAATAAATATGTAATTATATCGAATGAAAAACCATAGTAGGGTCAACATCGTAGTCTGAATAACTGGACATATTTTGTTCGACGAAACAGCATTATCAAAATTCCAAGCACAGCAGCGTTAGGAATCGATTACATTACACCAACTTTATTTCCTAAAAAATAACTTCTCGACCATAAGGATTAGCACAATATTTGAGAAATAGAAAGACAAATAGACAGAGACAAACGGACAGGGATACAAGCAGAAAAAGAAAAAAGGAATAAGGCTAAGAATAAAGAAAGAAGTTCAATCGGTGGATCTGTTCCCGACGGCCAAGTCCTTCACAATCTCGAAATTCTCTTTTTTTATTCCCCAGGTCTCTCCCCTACTTATACCCATCTCTCTCTTTCTCTCTCTCTCTCTCTTTCCCTCTCCCTTTCTCTCTCTCTCTCTCTCTCTCTCTCACTCTCTCTCTCTCACACATACACACATTTTCCCTCCCTCTAGCTAAACGCGTTCTCGGGAATCGTCCTTACTCTCGCACGGATGGAAAAGCTTTCGCGGATTTGGCAACACTGCGACGCGATGTTGGGCGTCTCAGCAACACTCCGCGGCGCGAAGGACGAACGACGAGGAGGTCTCGGCAAGTAGAAAAAGTCGTGCTCGACGTAACGTCCGTAGCAGCAAAGCTGATAGTGGTGTGCTGGTGGTGGTGATGTCAGTTGAGAGAGTTGGTTCCGGGGTGGGATAAAGTGGGCGTAACCAACGGCGGGGAAGGCAAACGCGGAGGAACGTGAAAGGCGCCGGGTGAATAGCCCGAGGAGTGGGGGCACCTACGCGAGAGACCGTTGCTGAACTTAACTCCAAGAGTGGAGGAACCCAATAGGCGGAGCTAAAAGCTTCCCCTCCGTTCCTCATTTTCGTACGTGTTAAACGCGAGCCAATACGCTTGACAGAGACAGAAAGACAGACGGACAGGACAGAGAAAGAAAGAGAGTTTCGCATTGCTGGGTCGTGCGAATTTTGGCACGATTAAACTTTTCAACCGAGTTTCCACGGAAAAGGCAAGCCAACCAACCAGCCACCCAGTCAGTCAGTCAGCCAGCCAAGCCGCAAATAAAGTTTTTTCAATGTCAGCTTTTCAACCTGGAATGAAGATCAAGCAAAATAAACTCTTCTCGAACACTTCTATTGTGAACTTGGGATACTTTATTCCCATTACTGATTTCGAAATACATGGTCTTGAGAATGTTTTTCGAACGTGATCAGGATAACAAGATTATTGCTATTACATGTATATCCAATAAGTGATCCAAGATACAAGATATCGTTGCAAACATCGATGTCCTCGGTCTAAATACGAAGTAATCGACGAATAAACGAATGTCTAAATTCTCTAATAAAATTATCAAGGAATCTTAAAAATATTTCGAGAAAAAAATGGGATCATCTAAAAGTACATTAGAGTACATCGGAAGATTGGGAAGAAGGAAGATCGAAAGTGTGCTGCACGCTTAGCGTGGTTTGTTTCCCTTCCCTCGTAACTGCCCCCGCCCACTCCGGGGTGTTAATGGGCGTACTCGTGGTTAACACCCTAGCTGGGAAAATAGTGGGGGATTGGGATACCCCTCTCGCCCTTTGCGTGCGTCACCAGGATAGATCCTGACGACAACTCTCGACGAGTTGGCGGTAGGAAGAATAACTTGTGCTGCTGGTCTCGTGTTCTCTCGGAGAGAGATCAGAAAGAGAGAGATAGGAAGGGAATAATTTGAAGATAGAAAGAGGTGGAGTTGGTGGAGTAGGAGCGGGCTAAGGCGAGGGAAGAGAAGGGGAGCGACGGAAAAGGCGTCGAGAGCAACGCCGTTCGGATTGGCGTTCCGGCGCCAATCCGAGCTAGGAGCGCTCATTATCGCCCAACGGCTGGTCAGGAGGAGAGAGAAAAGGTGCCAGCACGTTTCCCCATCTTCTCGCTCGAGCGACGCGCCACCGTATCTCCATCCCGGTCTTACCAAGGGAAAAAGGAGAGGGTAGGGTGATGGGAAAGTATATGTGAGGCTCGCGCGCGCGCGTCCCGTTGAAATGCAGCTGGTGGGGATGGCAAAGTCCCCACTACCGAGGCCCAAGGGACTCGCTTCGTAGCTCGGCTAACTCGTCGTCCGTTGTCGTCGTCGCCGTCGCCGTTGCCGTCGCCGTCGTTGGAAAAGGGGAAGGGAGGAGGAGCCCCCGCCGCACGGCCTCAGTCTTCGCGTCGCTGCCCTCCAGCATTCACGCCTCCCGCGTCCGTTCCGCGGCGCAGCCACACTCCGTTTTCTCTCTCTCCTTCTCCTTGTGTGTTGTTCTCTCGTTGTGTGTCGCCGTCGTCGTCGTCGTTGCTGCTGCTGCTGCTCTTGCTGTTCTCGTCATCGTTGTCGTCGTCGTCGCCGCCGCCACCGTCGCCGCGTCGTGTCGTTTCATCGTTGGCATAGTCGTCGCCACTGTCGTCGTCGTCGCCGTCGTCGTCGTGGTGCTTTTACGTTTTCGTAAGCGGCCGCGTCTGTGCGCGCGTGCCTTTCTCTGTGTCTGTGTGTTGTGTGGATATATGTGTGTGCAGTCAAAGTCAGTGTATTAGTGTATCTGTGAGTGAAACCCACACACGTATACCTATACACTTACGGGGCACGCATACCTAGACATTATTCACTTGGTGGACGATTCACATATAGCTAAAGCAAGAGAGTCACCCTACCACGCTCGGCGGCACACAGGGACACGCACGCACTCACACGCTCTCCTCGAATCCGGACGGGACTTTAGCACACCAACACCTCTGCGGGAGGTGTGGGGGTGAGCCCCCAGAGGAGGTGTCAATCCTAGCGCTGCTCAGTGACCATCGCGGCGCCACCCAAGTAACACCTTTCGTCCGCTCTCTCTCTGCAACCGAGCACACCGGCAGATCTAGTCGACGTTTTCAACTCGAGTCCAACAAGGGAAAAATCAGACGCTCCATTATTACATTTTTTTTTCTTCTTTTTTTTGCCTTTTCCCAATAATTCTGTCTGATCAACCGAACGTCGTCATTGAGCATCACGTGAAATCATCAATAATTATCAATCGAATATTGAACTAAACTTTTGCTCTCTCCTTTCTAATATATTATTCTCTCTGCCAAGAAGAGACTCTCCTCAAACGAAGACATTGGACTGGATAGACGGGAGAGAGAGAGATATATATATATATATATTTATTCTGCTGCTCAATATTATTATTGTTATTCGGTAATACCTTGGCAAGAAGAAAATGAATACGTTTTAATTGATCTGGTGTTTTCCTATTATCGTGTTTACGTTAATATTTATAACGACGACGCGTCGTTTCTCGTGTGATCCCGGCCCGTCGGACAGTGTGCCTTCTGTCTCGCGCGGCTACGTTCTCGTGCTTCTTCATCCTCGTCTCATTTCCATACCTTTCTCCTCTCTCTCTCTCTCTCCCTCTCTCTCTTTTTCTCTCAAACAATCTCTCTCTCCCACTCATTCACTCACTTACACTTTAACATTCATACATGCTCTATATTATCTGTCTGTCCAATTGTCCTTTTGTGTAAATCGTGAAGCAAACGAGTGTTCTGGCAAACAGTGGGGAAAAAAAAGAGTCATTCTGGTGAATCGAATAATAGTGAACGATTATCTACCGAAGGATGGGAACAACTGTAGGTGCGATTAAGTCAATCCGATAAAAGTGAGAGTGCTCTGATTAATTAGAAAAATATCGTTGATCGAGATCGTTTCACTTAATCGTGATAGTGAAAATAGAAGAGGTATCTGTCAAGAAAAGTGAATGAATAATAAGATGAAGAAGGGAAGGATCGATGGGTCGTTGAAGGCGAGGGTGAATCATCTCTTCGGCAGGAAAAGGCGTGAACGTTCGAAGGATCAGAATCCTGAACGTTCCTGAACGAGAAAGCAAGAAATATGTTGGCGTGGTGATCGAATAAGTGCCTCACGTGCTTTCCCAAAAAAGAGACTTTAAGATATATATATATAGAGAGAGAGAGAGAGAGAGAAAGAGAGAGAGAGAGGAGCCAAAAAGGCAAAGAACAAAGTGGTTGATAGAGGGAAGGAAGAATAAATAAGAAAGAAGCGGAATAAAAAAGAATAAGAGTTAGAGTCACTCGAAGAGGAATCTCGCGCGACTCGGCACACTCGCCCGTCTCGATGAGATTCGAACAGGAGACAGCGTGCAGGGGTACCCACTGCGCCAGCACTCCGCAACCCTCCGCGCTGCAACAGCGAACACGGCCTGAGGAGTTGGTGGTGGAGGAGGAGGAGGACTGTTCCTCCTTGAAGGACGACATTGTCGTAGGTCAACGGTTAAGACGCAGAGAATTGGAGGCTAACGTGGTCGAGGGTGCGAAGACGGGGCCGAGGGCCGAGGCGGGGGGGCCTGGGATGGCGTACCCCGCGTCAGCGACGGCTCTGAATCAGCACTCGCCGTTCGCAAGCTCGTTGACGAGCTCGCTCGCGAGCTCCCTCGGTGGAGGACCACTCGGTGCTCCCGGCACCGGAGGAACCGCTGGTCCTCTCTCAGCTGGTGCACTAACCTCCAATAATCCCAACGGGCACATTTCCACGGCCGGGGGACAACATTTGCCAGCACCGGCCGCCCCAAGACCAACGGATTTTAGTGTTTCCTCGTTGTTAACTGCTGCCAACACTCATCCACCCATCCTAGGTGGTTCCTCCTCTCAAGGTAGCGCATCGCCACCACCTGGAGGACCTGGCAGTCCGGCAGCGGCACCCGAAACTCCGCCACCCTTACCGACCCAAAGGGAATTGTCTCATCCTTCCTCGGCTGTTGCCGCTGCCAGCTATTTCAGTGCTGCTGCACTGGCAGCCGCTAGTTTTTATAATCCGGCGGCTCATCTGCCACCAACCAGCTCGCCAGGGCCGACGGCTCATCATCTGCAAGGCAAAGCTATACTCACCAGTCCCCATCATCATCCGCATCTTAACCCTCACGGCATCACGCCACCAGGTACACATTTAATATCGCTTTTACCACCGCGATTTTTCAACTAATCCCTTTGCCTACGAAAATTTCAGTCTCCTCTTCCATCTTTGGATAGACATGTTTCATTGAATTTTGTCCCGTTCGGGTAATATCGATGATACTAATTACTCGACCAATCACAAATCCATCTTTGGATTGGAGAAATTGTTCTCTCTGTCGCGAAGAAAAATTTCATGTTTCAGTATGTACAGGGCAATGTTCGTTGTAACAATGTAGAGAAAAAAAATGTCAAACAGTTGAGAACGCGCGCGCGCGCGCGCTCATGTGTGTGTGCGTGCGTGCGCGTGTGGGATAAGATCGAGAATGCGGTTGTGACGCTGCGGAAAAAATTCGCTTGGTATACGTCAGCAATACGTTATAACGTCGGCTAAGATAATGCAATCGATGTGGCATATCTTGTGAGTTAAATGAGCTGCCGAATGTAAATACCAAGTTGTAACATAATTTTGGATTCCATTGATAAGAATTTAGACGGAGTGCGTTTGCACTATATGATCGTTCTTATAAATCGCCATGCAAAATCTTACAAAAATTTCTTACTTTGTCGTTTACTCGTTTTCTCTTTTGGTAGAAAACTTTGTAAGAGAAAAAAAGGGACAGGTGTGGCGGATTCGATGGCTGATAATGTGCTGTTCATCCTGTCTTGTCTTATCTGTCATCTCATTATTACATGCATCCACTTTATCCGCCATGCCTGCTTATTCTTTTCGTTACCTTAAACGATGAATTAATCTCCGACGTTTGCGTTGACACGCGTTGGCTATGCCAAAGGTATTCTATTATATTATATTTCTACCAGAGAATTTTGCGAATATTAAGTTAGACTTTTAAGTTGTGGTTATCGGGTAAAGTTTTTTCTTTAGGCATATGTAGACAGGCTAATGAAAAGGCCTTACGTTCATAAAAAAATTAATCATTTAATCATTTTCTTAAAGCTAGATTATTGTGTCGAAAGATATTATTCTTCATATAAATTTCTAATCCATTCAAATATTGCAATAAAGTCAATAAAATTCAACAAATATTGTTACAATTTCGTAGAATTTTGTATTCGTCGAGGATAGTTAAAAAAAAATGATTTATTACATTATTAAAATATAGTCTCAATCCTTCAAAATTCTAATTCAATTTTCCAATATAAAAATATCCAACAAGTGATAGGTCAAATCAGTCGAAAATATAAAAATTCAGACAAGCCCTTTACATTACATTGTTGAAAATAAATGATATATCATATATATATATCTAAAAGAAATCAAAAATAACAATAAGAAGTCACGTATTTAATCGTTTAAATTTCTAATCTGCCGGTAGTAATTCGTAATGGTTGTCGGGGTTTAAGATTAAAAATGATTTTCTTCCTAGATATAAATGATTCTTTTGTCAGGACTCATAGATCAACCTGGTGATTTGTTGTTGTTGTTGCAACTCTTTCCTGTAATTGAAAAAAAATTGTCTTCTAATAAATTAGAAAAATAAAGACAGGGATAGAGAGAGAAACAGAGACAGAGACAGAGAGACAGAAAAAGGATCTTCTTCCTTTATTTTTTTGTTTGTTTTCTAGTGTGTTGGGCTTTCGTCCAAGTGAGCGTAGGTAGTGACGATTAATCTTGCCAAGGGCATGTCCGACGTCTCGGGTATTCGAAATTCGGTGCGTGTAACTTGTGCGTTTCTTTTGCCGCGCTTGTACGAAGACGTGAGCGCATTAAACTCGTGTCAGTTGGTTAGATACGACGAATACTTAACAATGAGATCGACTACGAGTCAACAATCATTTGAACGAAATACAATATTTTAAATATTCTTCTAACATTTTAACATATTTCTTCAATTTCTAAAATTTCTCTCTCTCTCTCTCTCTCTGTTACAAACTTTCTAATCTGTTTTTTTAAGCCTATTCATTAAATGCGATATACTTTTAGGCCATCATCCTTTAACAAACGGATTTACAATATTATTACATATTTTCAATTGATTCGATATAAAGAAATATTATTTTCATTTATATTTATAGCGTATTTTTAATTGGAGTAAGTAAGAGGAAAAACATGTGTCCAACTTTTTTCTCTCTCACTCACTCTGTTTTATTTTATTTCATTTTTGTTCATTTATTTTTCGGTATGAAAATATTTCATCTCTCTCGTTATTATGCTTTGAAGTGCAATTATACAATTTTTATTTGTACACATGCGCGTATGAATATACATATAATAGTATTTATAGTTAGAATAATTTCTCTCTCTATCTTTATTATTCTTTCTTTCCGATTATTTAGTAATAAGATAAATACTGTTTTCAACGCGATGGTGAATTGTCAAAATTAATCTTTTGTTTTTTTTTTTGTCAATCGTTTGTCCGTAATCAGAAAATAACTCTTTCGTCTAACTATAGTATTTAATCTTTTCGAAAAAGATTTCTATTTAATTCGTTTCCTTAGGAATTTCAAAAAAATGAAAAACGTTCGTAAATCATTGTAAAAGAGAATCATCATCGTTGTTAACGTCAAATACTTAACAATGTCACTAGTTCGATTATTATTTATTATTCGCGATAAGAAAATAGATTATCGTGTAAGAAACGCGTCATTTCTCTTTCGTTATCGTTATCGAGTCCTTCAACACCGTCAAAATTATTAATATGCCACGTGTGAAACTAACTTCCCTAGGAACGTATATACATATATGTACATATGAAGAATATATATCGAGGAAAACGAGAGAACGTCGGCACGTTTGAAGCTTCGTAATGCCGAAGGAAATATTTTTCTCCGATGGAAAAGTCTCCGCTCACGGAAACTCGTTTGGCAGCCATTTTTCAACCTTTCTCGAATGATATAAAAAAAAGACAAAAAAAAAAAAAAGAAGCCGAAGAGAATTCAATTGCGAAATGATCAAATCTGCTGTACTCCCCGTAATTTTTTTTTTTTTTCCACCTCGTTCTAGAAACGTAAATGAACAATTTGTTCAATTTATTCGAATTTATTTTTCAACGCGAAAGAATAATATTCCTTACAATCTCGCGCCATTTTGTTATTCATATTCGCTTACCCTATAAAAATCACGACACGAAAGTATATTTTTCATCGAAATATATTTTTTAATATATTCTCACGTGTTATTTATTCGTGAAAATAAAATATTAATGTAACTGTTGTTGTTAGTTTCTTTTTAACACAACAAATAATAATAAATAGTTGCAACGAGGAAAATCGCGTAGCATTATCTTAATTATTTCAAAAATGTTTCGAATTTAACTTTAAAAATTATGAAAATCACATGAAATATCTTTTCTTTACAATATTGCATAAAGTTAAATGCTATTTTTATTTTGTTATCTTAACACTTTCGTTAAATATTTTACAACACTTTATATACTTTTCTATAATGAACGAACAAAAAAATATGAAAAAGAGAAGAGAGTGAGAGAAAAAGAATTTCCTTTCATCTGAATTCATCAAAACATTTTTATTTTTCTCGTTGTTTAACAAATAAAATATAGAAAGAGAGAAATAAAAAATTAGATGTATATTTATAAGGAAGTATAAATAAGCGGAAAGTTTGTTTTATTTTTATTAGTATCTCAAAGAAATCGTTCATTTTGTTTCGATCGAGATTCAAATGTTTTTTTTAATCTCTTACGTGTTAATCTTTTTAATAATATTAATCAAACGATATTTAAAAAAGAAGAGAAAAAAAAATTACGCTGCCTCCTCCCCCGTATCTTAAACCATTGCAAAACAAATATTTAAAATCGAGGGAATTTATTTTTCTTCTCCAAAACTACTATCGTTATTCTTTTATTTTTGTCCAAAATCGAAAGAGCCTTTTTTCTTCGTTTTCTTTTTTTTTATTTATTTATTTTTGTTTTTGTTTTTATCGTCGGCTCGAAAACGACAAGCTCTCGATTCATAAAGCAGTTTTGTATTTTTTTTTCGTTTTCTCTTTTTTCTTTTTTTCTCCCCTCCCCTCCCACGCCTATGGAGTACAACGGTGGCAAACAAAAACGTGCGATAAAAACACAATTCGCATTGTTAGTGAAATATGTTTAAACAATTTCGACTGCGTCTCTTTTGGAAAAAAAAAAAAAGTTAAAATACAGAAAAAATATGTTCTATATATATATATATATATATATATATATATATATATATACACACACA